GTTTATACAAATGATAAAAATATTATAATTACAACCGCTAAAAATTTTAAAATTTTATATCGCCTTATTTTTTGTTTAAAACGTATTCTTTTCTCTTGCTTCGTCCGCCTTTACTAGCTTAAAAAACAAATCTCCGGTCGGGCCACAAAGCATTATGGGATATGCTGGGCTGGGAAGGATCCATCAGACCTGTCCTTCGATTCGGGCCAAAGGAAGGACGTATTTGTCGGCCGCATCAGAGGAGTCTTCAGTTTGGGACGTCCTTCGACGCGGTGCTGTGACGTATGCAGCCGACGAATTCGGCCTTCGGAGGACCCGTCCTGCTGTTTTGGACACAGCCTTAGTGTCAAATTTATTTGCTTTTATACAGTGAATAAACATTTTTGAACAGAATGTCATGTTTTAAAAATTCAAATAATAAAGTTTAAGTTTTAAGTGATTATTGATTTGATTTGACCAAAGGAGTAGAATTTGATTGGCTGGATGTTGTGCTGCCTGCGTTCAGCACTGAAACTTTTTAGACAGCAAACAAAAACATAATTGCGGGACATTGAAAAACAAGGTAGAACTCGATGCCAAAGCATCGGCTGGTATGTCTCCGCACTGGACATGCAGTTACCTGTTGACCTGTATTTTTGGACTTAAATAGTCTAAGAAGTACGTAACTATAACAACAATGTCTAAACATGACTTCCTCTTTGATATTTACCACATCATTAATTTCAGTGACCACTTATGTGTACCATCCATAATAAGGGGATTCAGGCAACAAAGATTACTTTATCTGACCTTCAGCTTTGACCTTTGACCCCAAAATGTTTTCAGACCTCTGTTGGGCCAACAACAATTATCATGTTAATTTTGACTGAAATCAATAAGTTTGTTCAGGAGATATAGTGCACACACAACGGAATGACAGACACCCGGTAACGCACAGATGGACAACCAGAGAACAGCATGCCTCCTCAGGCGGAGCCATAACAACGTTCAATATAATGTTCAACTACGTATGAATGAATTAGTGAATTTTATTTGTAAAGGACAATGTGCAATTAAAACATAAACATAAAAACATTTGATGCATTGCACCAGATTTAGCCTACAGCTAGTTTACATCTGCAGTCCTCCTAATAATAAAAACAAGAAAAGAAAATAACAGAAAAATAAAAACAACACAATATAAAACATTTTACAATCAACAATAAAAATACATAAACACCCCACCCCACTCTCCAAACACAATTATTATATGTGAGCCATCACATCAAAATTAAGATTAAATCTATAAGTGGTACTTGGAGAAATAGGCAAATATAGTGTTTTGATTAAAATGTTAACAAAAATTGCTTTTTGTCAAAACAATGAATAAGTGCCTTATTAATGTACCATTTGAATGAACTGTCTGAAATTTAATCATAAAACAAAATTTTGAAGCATTTTTTGAGCAGTAGCAACAAAAAACAGATTTTGTGGAAAAACGCCTTAAAATTTTGAGATTTTTCCTGTGAGTTAGTAATGTTTTGTGTCTTTTTATCTGGTAAATCTCAATATTCAAATATAATTTGAGGTTTCCTCTTTATAAGGACATCAAAAATTCCTCATTAAAATGAATAAAATTAGGATTCAGACCAAATATTTATGTATTATTGTAACCAACAAGACAAATTAACTCATATATATAGATTTAATTATGATATCAGAATGATCCAGGTGTCAAAATGTAGCTTTTAAAGACAAGAATCTGAAAATGTGCTAGCACAAAGGCTGAGGTTGTTCTTCCATGAAGCAGCTCTGTTGTCCTCCATCCATATTTTCAGTTCCAGGCTGAGTCATTTCTACCTTCTCCTCTCTGTCAACGCTCTCTGGTTTCATTTAAAAGAGTCGATCATCAGATATTGTCCAAGATTAACCTTCAGGGTGGATATAGCTCGCTAGCAGCCTCGCACCGAGGACCTATCCACGTCATTTACCCAGAATGCTTTGTGTGCAAATAAAATGGCTCCGTCCGCATTAAAATGTTTTTAAACATTTAGTTTAAAAATTATAAAAACTAAAACATCCTACAGTATTTTTACAGTCTTTATTTCACATTTAAAATACATGTTTATCAAATAAAGTCTAATGTTACAACTAATCGGGGATCCCTTTAACATTCTATCCTTTAGGATTATCCTTACTGAAGTTGTAAAAACAAACAAAAAAATGAAAAGTGAATTTGTGTTCCTGTCTGTGTTTTGGGACTGTGGAGGAGATGAGGAGGTTAAAATAGATGTGGAAAAAATGGGAATGATAAGCGGATGCAGACTGAGAGAAAAACAAGCCTGAGGTCTCTCAGAAAAGAGCTGGCCAGCTGACCTGAGGTCAGCCAATGGGTGATAGCACAACGGTCGTCCGGTGGTCACATGACCGCTGATAACCTCAGCTACATCAACACTGCTGAGTCAGTGACACTACAGTCAGGAATCAGCGTGTGGTGTCCGTTTAAAAAATGCAAACGGCCACATCTGTCACAGCTGAGTTACTGCTCTGTGAAGAAGTGGAAAACAGGAGGAAAATGCTGACTGAAGCTTGAACTCCAGTGTTGTACTTTAGGAGCTAAATATTATTTTTTTCCTTTCATATTTATAATTATTACAAGACTTTCATCAGCACATGGCTTCTGATATTGTGGTGAAAAGGGATTAAAGAAAAAGGGAAAAAAGCTCTTGTAGTTTTATGGTATGGTAGTCAGATGTTTTTTAAGTGGTTGTCACATACCTGTTTATTAGTGTATCTATGTATATCCGTGAGCGGCCAGTTTGTCTGAAACCTTCTGAAATATCTGTTCATTTAGGACTGCTTCGTCCAAGAGGCTGTATGCACTCATCTCCTGGAAGAGTTAGCTGGAGGAGTTTGTAAGTTCTGCCTCGGTTCAGCCAATCCACTGGTCTGCTGACGCCAAAATCGTAAGCAGACAATACTCGGGTCTACCCAACTGGAAATGGAGACACGTGGCCGAGGCTGAACTGAGGAGACCCGCACACAGGTACGCCCATGGAGAGTGGGCTTTAGAGACAAAGAACTCTCACCAACACCTGAGGACAAGTTGGAGTTACCATTTAACCTAACATACATGCTTTTGGTCTGTGGGAGGAAACTGGAAAATGTGGAGAAACTGCATGGGGAGATACAGTGGAAGATTTGGGTTTGGGTTTAGGACCAAAGTGTGAACTGAGTTAGGTGAAGGATGTGCTGGTCAGAGTCAGGTCAGAGTTGAAGTCAATACAATGTCTTAGTAAGGATAGAAATCCAACTTGTGCTTTTCTTCT